ATCTACGGGCAAGGAAAAAAGAAGATAATGAACTTTGATCTAAAGTTAACATAGTATACAAAATTAACTCAAATGTATTGTAGATTCCAAGATAAAATGAAAAACTGTCTTTAAAGTTTTTAAAAAGTATTAAAAATGGGATCTAAAGTCTGATGAAGAATACTAAATTGTGATACCAACAGCATAATACCTAGAAGAAAAATAACATAGAATTTATAAAAATTCAAGTCCTGTTCTGCGAAAGGCCCAGTTTCGATGATGAACTCCAAACCACAGACTAGGAGAAAATACTTTCAAACTACTCATCAGGTAAATGGCTCACAACTTGAAAATATAAAGACCTTTCAAGACCCAATAAATTCAAAGCCAAAAAATTCATCTAGAAACCAGGCAAAGGAGATGAACAGACTTTTCACCAAAGATACACAGACAGCACTCCACAACCAGGGAACCCACATCTGTAGATCTAACTAACTGTAGAATGAAGATATTTAAAAAGAAAATTGAGTCCATACTGAATGTGTACTAGCTTTTCCTTGTTAATATTCTATAAGCAGTGCAGTATGACAACTATTTATATGACACTTACATTGTGTGAGATATTGTGAACCACATGAAAACTATTTAAAGTACAAAGGGGCATGTGCATAAGTTGTATGTAAACACTACATCATGTTATACATGGGACCTGAGCATCCATGGATCTTGGTCTCAGTGAAGGTCCTGGAACCAGCCTCCTAAAGATACCAAGGAGTGTCAGCACATGGCAAACAAGCATACATAATGATGTTTAAAACCACTAGCCATTAAGACCACAATAACATATCATGACACATTTGCTAGAACAGGAAGTGAAGAGGAAGTCTATGAATTGCTTGTTGGGATTGGAGAAACGAGGTGTCTCATATACTACTGGAGTCTCCACACAGGCGGGTTGGCAGCTTACAGGGCCCCAGAGCATCTGCAGGGAGAACAGCACCTCCATGAGTAACAGGGATGATCTCATTAGTGTACCAAGCACACCAGGAAGGAGATACTGAAGGAGACTGCCTGTAGGCGTCATCCCTGAAACAAACACACAGAAAACAGGCAGGGATAATTTTCAGACTTCAGAGGACTGGATTAGATTAGAGGACAGGATTACTAGGCTAGTAGTATTGTGTAGATCCCTTCGTGAAACGTGTGATGGAACACACGCTGAGATTTGGAAAGAAGAAAATGTCTCTTCTCAGGAACTGGTAGCTTGGACCTCAAAGACGGATCTACACTGGCTTCTTTTCCTAGAGATTCTTTTTGTAAATATAGGAGACAGGCCTTGCACCCTCAAAAACACTTTTGGCCTGTACCTTTTCAGACCAGAGTAAGAGAAAGCCAGACAGGTCTGTGATCCATGAGTCAGGTAGGATTCTGCTCCTTAAGACCCTCCTTAATGACATACTTAGGTTTTTAACGCAGAATCCAAGGAACTTTTCAAACTGTCCAGCAGAGGGACCCCTGGCCTCGTGTGTAAGTTCCTGTTTTGGTGGCTCGACCTTTAACCTACACTGCTGCTTGACCCTCATGTTGAAGAAAAGAACTTGAGGAGGGCTACACTTTAGCATGAGGAACACCAGGATCCACCTCATGCTTTAAAGCAGATGTGATGTTATGAGACTTGCCCCACTGGGGCACAATGACCCCTGGGCAGGCAATGTGGGTCTCATGGGGGCGCTACATTGAAGGGAGGGACTCTGGCAAAGGTAACTCCCAAGGCCAGAAAGGAAACAGCAGCACAGGATGGAGAAAGGAAAATGTGACTACCCAAGGTGGCAATGCTGGAGTGACCTGAACCTGGTCAGATGTGGAGAAGATTCCAAGGTTTTCATCTCCAGCAACTATGGGCATGGGTGAGGAACAGCTCCTGTGTCCCTCTGAGTATCATGACAGTTGGCAAGAAGGTACTTTGCGTATGTCCCTATAACTCTGACGGCAAAGCTAATGCCATGGGGCACTAATGATGCTGTCATGAGGATTGCTGAGGCCATAGGGAATTCATCCCCCGCATTTAGAAGGAAGTATCCCATTGATTACAAGCACAGTCATTAATTGATGATTGCTGACAAGGTTGGTTGATATATGACTTCCGTGGTCTTTTCCACAGTGCTCCGAGGAGGATGGGTTGACAGTAAAACGGATTCACAATTCAGATTGTCATTTTTAGGTAGCTATCTAATAGATTAACTTTCTTGTAATTTAACACCTTCCACATACTTTATCAATCTTTTACTATTTTAAATTTGAATTGAATTTATTAACTGATACATTAAAAATAAAAAGAATAATTTTGTGGTTGCTCTTCACTAGAATTTAGATGGCTTCAGGAAAAATAGGTTCTCTTGAGGCCGCTGTGTGATCATTGTGTGACAGCTCTCACTTGTAATATTTTCAGTCCCAGACTCCGCTGTTCAGCACATACTTTTGAGTGCTATGTCTCCCACTTTCCATGTGCTTGGAGCAAACCACAAGTTGTTTTCTGAGAAATCCTGTGGCATTTCACTGGATCTCCTTGACTCCAGGATGGATTTTCAGAGTCAGACACATAAGGTCTCTTTCATACGTTTAATCCCCTTGAAGATGCAGATGGCTGAGTTGGTTTCAGGGCAAATTACACCAAGTTATATTTTCATCATCTGCTGGTTTCATAATAATTTTATTCACACTGGATGTTCTATGTGATTTTATTTATTCTATGCCAGAGTAATCAACTGGTAACAAGAATAGTAATCTAATATTTTTAAGCTTAAATACTGGGGAAATGCCCCAGTTTCAGAGGTTATTTATTTTTTGTATTTCTTTTGCTTTTTTGTTACTTGATACATTTTACTAATTTATTTATAGGGGTTTTACTTTTCCCCACTACATAGTAAAAATTTTGTACTACATTTATTTATTTTTATTACTTTCTAGTACTGGGCTTTAAACTTTTTCCCACTTATTATTCTGTTTTTTATATTATAAAACCCAATAGGGTTTAGTTCTCTGCCTTCAGCTTTCACAGTGTTAGTTGTTCTTACATTTTTCCAGTGGAAAATTTGGCTAGTTTAGTTTTCTAATTGTAATGAAAATATTTTGTTTTTTATTGCCATTGACTTACCATAATCTAGTCAAATTTAGGTTTTCAGTCTTTAATGTTAAAGTTATTAAATTTATATCGGATTTGAGAAGTGAGCTGCGGAGGATCTCACGGGGGAAACCCACTCAACTCCCATGGAATGGAGCCTCAGGCATAGCAGCACAGGCACATCGTGACAGAGTACAGATTGCTGCACAGAAAGCCTGAGTAGAGGGTTTGCAGAAAACGAAAGAAACAATCATACATAATCTAAAATCAAACAGAAGTGCTAGATCCAAGTGCCTGCTTCCTGCCCCAGCTACACCGCTTTGTGGAATGATTCTTAATCAGCCTGGGGCCTCACTGTTACCTGCAGTGGGCATTTGCCGTTGTCACAGTAACTAAAGATTGATAGTGGGCAGGTGGACAGTGTTCTCTGTCCTTTCAATTTCGGAAAAGGCCAGCCCACATGGACACTTGGTGAAGATCACTCACAGCCTGGCAGGTCCAGGAGTGGGGTGAATCATCCTGGAAAGCTAGTTCCGTTGAAGTCAGAACCCGTGCCACCCTGTAACCCGCCCTTCTCCCACCTCCCTCCACCCACTAGCTCAGCTTTCTAAGTCTCCTGCACTGTAGTACCAAGGGCAGTGACCACTAGTGGAGCTTGGATTGCACTTAAAAGACTCTACTGGCACAGGTACAGGTGAAATTATAGGCAAAGGATATAAGCAAGTAGTAGCCACCACCTAAGTGCCCAGGGTGTGAGGTGAGGCACCCCCAGAGGGGGGGCAACCAAGGCAGGGCATGTAGCACTACTGAAGGGCCACTAGGTGGTAGACAAATTCCACTGTCGACACTTCCCTGGGATGTCAGGTTTACTCTGAGCATGGAATATGAGATTAGGTTTCCTAATTCTGATCAGACAGAGTGGGAAGCACGGCTAATGCTCCACATGCCCAGGACAAGTAATGGCCTCCAAGAAGTCTTTGCATGTACCACCGTGTGTGTGTGTGTGTGTGTGTGTGTGTGTGTGTGCATGTGTGTGTAAGTCTTTCCATAAAACTCTCAGGCCAGTTGCAGTTTCTTCCCCTGGGTCCCTGTACCCCAGACTAACCAGTTATTTAGACACTTCAGAAATTTCCAGCTGGTTCCCTGTGTGTACTAGGATTAACTCTTCCTTCCAAGGAGTATCGCCTATATTTCCAAGTCCCAAGGAAGTCCCCTTCCCATTTCTCCACCTTAATTTAGCCAGTGCCTCAAAAGGCAAGGTTTCTGGCTCTTAAAGCCTAGGTCTCTACTTCCCAGTAACAGCCCTGGGCATTCTGCAGAGCATGTTTCCATCCCCATATCAGTGTATTTACGAAACCCACAAAAGAATTGCCTGACATCCTTGTGAACCATATGACTAACTGACGTCCCTTTGGTCAATCATGCCTTACACCCTCACCTAAGAATACTACTGTGCAATTTGAAGGATTACTTAGAGCAGTACATCAGATGATGTATGCAACACCCTCTTGATTCCGCCTCCCTGAATTGTGAAGTTTTACTTTTGTTTAATGGAAATCTTACATTTCACCACCCACCACAAAATCTCTACACTGGTAAATGAGTGGAGTACTCTCCTTAGAAAGCAGTGCTGTCACCACACTTTTTACTATCCTAATAGTAATCTTGGTGCCCGTGTCTATTCAGTGCGTGTGGTAGACTTGGCACCCAAACTTTAAGGGAAAAATTAGAATGAAGACAAATACTTCCATGTTATGCTGAAAGTATATTTATATATAGATATAGATATAGATATATAGATAGATAGATCTTTACTCTCTTGCAGACAGTTTCCACTGTTGAGTCATTTAAACTACCAAAGAACAACTTATTATAATTTTACATAAATTGTACCAGAATAACAGTAATAGCTTGTCAGATTGATTCACAAAGCCAGCACAATTCTGATACCAGAAAATAACAACTGGAACACAAAACAGAGAATCACAAATCTCACTTAAAGATACAGGTACCAGAATACCAAGAAAACAGTAGCCAGTTGAAATCAACACCACTTGAAAATATACAAAGCTTTGCCAGATACAAAACCAGATTTAAAATTCAAATGTACACACATACAGAACTGAAACAAAAACACCAGAAACAAAATGTGCCCACACCCTGTCAGTGGCCTCTGGCCGGGGACCCAAAGGAACAAAATTACTATAACACCTATTAGTGGGGAGGGGGCCTGCTGGTCAGTTCATCAGAGTCATCACTGGCATCAGACATCCTCATCTGAGTCCTCAGACTTAAACTCTGCCAGTGCTTCAAAATAATGGAATGACCAGCACCAAGGAGCTCTTTTATGAAATTTAGCAAAACACCTCAGGACAAGAATCTTGCTGGTTTCCAGGAAAGCTTGGGGTCCCCAAAACAACTCATATTCTGCTGGTTCAGAGCAAGGGAGGGGCCTGTATTCTAGATACCTGGGCCTGACAAACACTTCAGTGATGAGCTTCTTCGGGTTTCCAGAGAAAACATTTGTCTCCCGGACATCCAACCCTAACCTGAACAGAAAATTAAAGATCAGATTTTCCCTGACACATTTGCCTTTCAGAAAGATCAGACTCAGTACCACCATCAGGAGTTCAAACTTGGGTTTGTCAGTGAAGGATACCAGCAAATCACATTGAGGGTGTCCCAGCTTGCTGATGATAATGTAAGAGTGAGTTTTGGTATCAATTTTCTTCAATTGACAACCAAAATTGCAGTCTAGTTTTGTGTTGGCACGGACGATGATATGTAGGCACTCATCTTTATACTCTCGGATGACGACATTCACCATTTCTGAGCGTGGGATCGGCACCTTGGCTTGGTCCCTGACCAAGAGAAATTGCACCAGTGCATGTGCTCTCTCATCTAACAGAGACGACTGCTGAGTCTCTCCCCTTGGGTCCTCTTGGTTGGCCCTGCATCTGTGGGAGAGACATGGGACCTCAGAGACAATGAAGGGCTGAAGGCCACCTGAGCCTTCAGAGTGACCCAGGCCCCTTGAGGTGCTTGGGCCTTCCCAGGCATTCAGTGCCCAGGATGTGCTGGGCCCTTCCCAGCCACTCAGAACCCTGGAGACACTAGGACCCTCCCAGCCATTCAGACTATAGGAAGTCCTCAGGCATTCCCAGTCCCCCACAACCTGGACAGAGCTCGGGATCTCCCAGTCACTCAGACTAACATTTTCCCATTGCCAGGAGCCCTGCCAGTCTTGTGAGGTCATGCTGTGCCTGTTGCCTTCTTCAGGTCCCAGGTGCTTCTTCTTCCGGGTGACTTTGCCTGAGCGACGTGGTGGGTCAACAACACTGGAGGCCCCTGGAGCAGTGGCAGTTGCCTGAGGAGGAGCTGCTGTAGCCATCAGGATGTGGGGTACAGCCTTGGATGACTTTGAGACATTCGCATTAGGCTGTGGAACCCATGGAACTGCAGGCAGAGCCTCTGCGCAGGCATATGGATCCTGCGGAACAAGTGGCAGTGACTTTGGGCTCTCTGAGATGGCAGATGGGCCTTTAAAGGCATGAGAAGAGGCAGGCTGAAAATGGGAGGTAGACGGAAACACCCTCGAGGTGGCAGAAAAGGTATCTGATGTGGCAGGCAAGTTTTTCCAGGCATTTGGCAGGTATGCCCTGGAAGCTGACATTGCCCTTGGAGCACAGAAGGTGCCAGCAAAAATCACACGGTCCTTTGAAGGGCCCTTTTTCTCCTTTGTAGAGGTCCTGCGTTCTTTAGAAGAACGCTTAGGTTCTGAAGAAAAGGCCCTGCATTCTCCTGATGGAATCATGTGTGATCTAGCCTGGCCCCTGGGAAAATTTGCCCCTCCTAGGGGGGCTCCTGGCTGGGCCTGCAAGATGGGAGGTGGCCCTTGCCAGCAAGGCTGGAGTTGCACTGCCGGCATTTCTGCCTGCGGGCCCGTGGGCTTGGCCTGGTGGGTGGGTAGCTGAGTTTGCAGGCCTTTTTGGGAGGCCAAAGCCCCCTGAAAGGGCTGCTGCTCCAGCTGGACCATTCGGGTGGGCTGCCCCTGGGCCTCCTGGGCAGGCAGGGGCTGCCAGGTGTGAGTGGGTACCTTTGGGGCCTGCCAGGCTAGCGCCTGGGACTGCTGCACCTCCTGAAACTCCATCGATGTCGGCAGCTCATGTGGCACTGGGGGTTGGCCTTTGGGAGCCTGCCAGATGATCGATGGGCAGCGCACAGCCTGCTGGGAAGCCTGTGGTGCAGCCTGTGGAGCAGCCTGCGGGGCACGCAGTGGCGCAGGCAGTGGGACAGACAGCGGGCTCGGCAGCACTGGCTGGGGCACCTGCGGGCCTGCGGGTGGCACCGCAGGTACCTGCGTAACTATTGGTGCCGTAGGCACCTGCGGAGCTCCCTGCACCTGCGGGGCCAGCAGCCGAGCCTGCGGGGCCTGCCGCAGTGGAGGTGGGGGTGGCAGGGCTTGCCAGATCTGTGGCTGCGAAGCCAAGACCTGTGGTGCCGACCGGATGGGTGGAGGTGCCTGGCGGATCAGCGGCGGTGCCTGACGAATCACAGGTGGTGCCTGGCGGATGACAGGTGGTGCCTGGCGGATCATAGGTGGGCCTTGACGTGCCACAGGAGGGGGGCCAGGACGGATGGGTGGTGGGCCCGGGCGGATGGGTGGGGGCACTTGGCGGATGGGTGGTGGCGCCTGCCAGGCTATCGTGGGCGCCTGCCAAGTGACCTGTGTGGTCTTCCAGGTCAAGGGTGTGGCCTGCCAGCCTTGGAGAGGGGCCTGCCATCCTGTTGAGGTGGCTTGCCAGCCTGGGGTTGTGGCCAGCTGCACCTGGGGGGGTTGCGGCACCTGGGGAACCTGTGGAGGTGCCCTTAAGACCTGCGACTGGATTTGCAGGATCAGAGGCTGACCCTGCGGGGCCCAGGATGCCATAGGCTGAGCAGGAGGTGCCACTGGTTGAGCCATTGGTGCTCCTGAGACCGGAGGATGGGTGATCGGCACTCCTGAACACGAAGGATGCATCATCAGGACACCAGGAGCTGGAGGCTTTGGCATCGGGACTGCAGAAGGTGGAGGCTGGGTCATCAAAGCAGCTGGAGGTAGAGGCTGGACCATCGGAGCAGGTGGAGCAGGTGGAGCAGGTGGAGCAGGTGGAGCAGGTGGAGCAGGTGGTGGCCGGACCATCAGGACTCCCGGTGTCAACGGCTGGGCCATCAGGACTCCTGGAGCTGGAGGCTGGGCCATCGGTGTCCCCGGCGGTGGAGGATGTGCCATCGGAGTCCCCGGTGTGGGGGGGTGCGCCATCGGGGTCCCCGGAGGGGGGGGATGCACCATCGGGGTCCCAGGAGGAGGAGGATGAGCCATTGGGGTCCCAGGAGGAGGAGGGTGGGCCATCGGGGTCCCCGGAGGAGGAGGGTGGGCCATCGGGGTCCCAGGAGGAGGAGGATGAGCCATTGGGGTCCCAGGAGGAGGAGGGTGGGACATTGGGGTCCCCGGAGGAGGAGGGTGGGCTATGGGGTTTCCAGAAGCTGAAGGATGCACCATCAGGGCTCCCGGGGTGGGAGGCTGGGGCATCGGGGCTCCTGGAGGAGGCGGAGGTTGAAGCATCAGGACTCCAGGAGTCGGAGGCTTGCCCATCGGACCCCCCGGAGGGGGAGCCTGGACCAAACCCCCAAGGGCAGGAGGCTGGGCCAGTGGAGCCACTGGGGCTGGCAGCTGGCCCTGTGGAGCCTCCCAGGCAGGCTGGGGTGCCTGCCAAGCCGCCAGGGATGCTGCCTGCAAGTCCATTGGAGGAGGATCCCAAGGGACCGGAGGAGCCCGGGAGGAGGCAGGCGGGGCACGCATCAGAACCGTGGGGCGGCTATAGACAGGCGGCTTGGGGGCCTCTGCGGGAGGGCTGGAATCACCCAGGTTCTTACTTAGCTGCGACATGTCCCTTGGCTGACAGCTGGTGGTTCTCGTCCTCCGACAGCTGCGGGCCGTTTCCTCCAGAGAGCAGAGAATGCCTACGTGGCTGAGCTCCCTCCCGGCTGAAGGCTGAATAGGAAGTGAGCGGCTCCTGCCGCCCGCAGCTCTCTGCAGTAAGCAGAGGGGGAGGGGGCTCAGTCAGCCACGCCCCCGACCACCGCAAGTGGATGCTGCAGAGGGGCGTCCACCAAAGCTGGTCCCAGCCCCCAGAACAGCTCCTCCTCAGGCACAGCCTCCCAGCACTGACAGGCTAAGATTTATGTGTTAGAAAAACCCCTGTGTTGTAATCGGAGTGAGCACAGCCCACTGGCAGCAAGGAAGGAACTCAGAAGGGGGGAGGTGGTGTGGTCTGTGCTCAGATACGAAGGCACTGACGTAAGAGAGGCTGGGGGCTGGAGGAGAGCGCTTTGATAATTCAGTGCAGGGGTAAAAAGATGGGGAAAGCATGCAGGTCTGTGCCTTGGAGAGTAAGAAGTTGCTGGGATATAGGCAGAGAGATAGATAAGCTTTGAGTGGAATGAGAACAGATACCAGAGATTCACCATCCAGACTCTCACAGCGTGGCCAGGAGACAGCTGAGCCAGAGTCTGGTCTGGCTGGTATTTACAAAAACAGAGCTGTGAGAGCGAGTGTGCTGGCAGAAGAAGTGTGCTTAGAGGAAAACTCCTGACACATGTCTGCAAGGATCCAGGCATTTTAAAGACAGGCAGAAAAAGTGCACGGCAAAGAGCAGAGAGGAGAGGGAAGAAATCTTGGACATTAAAGGTGTGTCAGAAATCACTGCAACGCAGGCTTTATAACAAGGGGATAATGTTTGTGAAATAGCTGAGATGAAGGGAGTGAGCTAGAAAAAAATTTTTAGAATGAAAACCAAAGATGTTTTCTACAATAAAGAGACACATAAATACATCTCTATAAATATAGCTCTTATTTTCATACATGTGTATGAAAAATAGATGAAGAATAAAAGGCAAAATTACTGGAAATTCTCATGTGTAAAATACAAGTGTTAAAATGAGACATAGGATGCATTTACAGACAAAGCAGGAGACTTTAAAATTACTCAGTAACAGGACTGCTTTTTGCCTGAAGAGAGTTAGAAATCCCAGTTTTGTTGCACAGATTTCTGGAAATATACAAAGTAATAAATATCAAGGGTGTTGTATGTGGAAGAGCCTGTTTGCAGACTAAGGCGACAATCCGGCATTAGCAAGAAGATGCCACAAGAGGGCAGACCAGGATGATGTAGGCTATAGCCCACTGCTCCTAAGTTATCCCTTCACCAGGGTCCTCAAATTTGGTAATTTATGGACCTCTAAAGAAGGAGTGTACACAGTCCCAATGGTACTATGACTTAAATCATGAGAGGAGAATTCTAGCTGAGGTTTCAGAGGGTACTTGTTACTCCAGAAACCTCTTCCTTGCATAGACAAGTGCCTTTTTAGGGTGCCTCAGGTAATGCGTCTCCTGTTCCTACCTATAGAAGGCTGTCCACTGCAGAGCATGGGGCACAGAGCACAGAAAGCTGCTCCTGTAGAATGAGTGCCATCATGCCACCCTCCTCTTGGGTTCACAGCCCAGAGCCGTATAGGAGCCCTTGGAATGGGACCAACTCTTAAACTCATAACCTTCATGTGCCCATATTATCAACTCTGCCAAATAGTCCTTTCAGACTGAGCACAGTTTCAGGAAAAGCAGTTCATTTTTTCAAACTGTGGCATTTCAACTCTCACTAAAGGATATTTTTTCCTGCTCTGATACAAATGTATATGCAAATCAGAGATTAAGCTCTCCCACTAATCATAATTGTGACAGGTTTGGCATTCAGTCCACCAGGCTGTGGGTCATCCCACAGCGTAAATGACTACCAGTAGGACCTGTTATCCCCTCTGGTATTGAACCTTAATGAATAGTACCGCTGCATGATGTCCACTCCCACCAAAACCCTTCCATAAAACACCCCCATATTGTGTCAACAGGCAACACAGAAGCTGTAAAGAAAGGACTAGGAATTATTCAGGGAAACAAAAGAACCTATATAGGTGTAATTAGAAATGAAAGGTGAGCAACTCGCAATCAGCACCTTTCCCACTCCATGGTAGTATTCTTTAATTAGAAGAGAAAAATCTGGGATTAAGTACTCAGTCATTCAGGAGGGGCTAGTAAATGTGGGTGCATTGAGTTTATCCTAGCTGGAAAATACATTTCCTCATTTTAGGCTGTCAGTGCTGCCAGACCCCTGGCTCTTGATGAGAGACTCAATTTTAATATGTATAAATTATTTACCTCTAATATCAGATCCCCTGGTGATTCAAGGGACATGCAACCCCTTTATGGCAACTTGCCACTTTAAAAATAGCAAAACCGAGTATGTCCTGCGTGTAGAGAGACATTTAGACTACAATTCTAGATAGGTCTCCCTAAATTCTTTTTCTTATCATAAAATCTGCCAGCTTCCAAAGCATGCATCCCCCCTGTGGGCATAGAACTCCTCATTCTCCTCAGAACTTTAGAGCCACGTATTGTCACAATTTACTCTCCTTGCTTCTGTATGAAACAGCTGTCTGTTAATGTTTCCCTCCTTTTATCCTTAAAAAAAAAAAAAATTAAAAAATAAAAAAATAAAAAAAAATAAGAAACAAAGAGGGGAATAAACACAAAATGTTTGTGGAGTGCTGGCATAAGTCTGCATCCTGATTAGAAAAGACTCTCGGGGACTTATATCAATATATAATAGAAGGGAAATAATCGGAAAGCATTGGGGGAAAGATTGCTTAAAATGCTGTCACAGGTAGAGAAGAAAAACGGGTGACTGGAGCCCGATTTTGTTCACTCTCACATCTGGGTTCAGAGTGAGCCGTCAGGAGCTGTTCAGGGAAAGTATAGTATTATCACAGACTGCCTCTCCTTCATTCCTACCTACCTGTTAGACTTGCTGCAAATGCTTGTAAGTGAATAAAATAAGCAGTTACAGTTTTCATAATTGTAAAATCACTTATTTATGAAACACCTTTCGGTAAACATGCATTAGATGCCCAGCTCTGTGCCATATATAAATCTACAGCGAAAAAATCTGATGCAGGATCTTATTCTTTTATCACTTTGAGATACTCATGTGATATTTTCACTACAATAAGGTGCTATTGATGCATTGTCTAAAACCCATATTGATCATACCTGAAGCAAATGATGAAGTGCTCCCTTCTGCTTGCAGCACAAATGTCGTAGAGCTGATATGCTGCTTGTGCCAGTGAAAGGAAAAAAAAACCCAAAGCTGTGTAAGATTCCTAAGTGCTCTGCCCACAGCCTGAGCAGGAAAATAAACAAAGGACAGGAGATAACGGACATAAAAGGTATTTGAAAAAGGCATTTTGCAACAGTGTTTCACATTCACTGGAATGACAAAATCTAAAGGATTAATAATACCGAAAACTTTTCAAAGTTGTTAAGTATCTGGAATTCTTGGCTATTCTGAGAATGTCAAAGGACCTAACCTAACTACGGAGAGTTGCCATGGTTTCTTATAAATAAACATTTACCCCCTGACCCAGGCATTCAACCTTTGTCAATTACTAGGGTTGCTACCTCATTGAAATAATAAAAGTGATATTTATTAAATACTAATTATTCAATAAAATACTATCTTTGGATTTTTACCTATGCTAATTATTAATTCTTCACAAAGTCCTTAAATGTTTGCTCTTATTTTACATGTCAAGAATTAAGGCTCAGAAGATTAATTAATTCATTTAAAATTTGGCAAGAGATAGCAGAATTTGTATTTAAAACCTCATCTGCTTCTTGTCAAAGGCATCATTATTTACCATTATCCCAGTGCATCCAATACCTTTTAAAAATTTTAGATGTACTAACATACAATACAATCCACAAATTTAAGTATTCATTTTAATGAGATTTATCATCAAGTAACCAACACTCAGAAGGAAATAAATGATATTTTTGTTTTAGAAGAAAGTTCTTGTTTGCCTTTTTACTTAATTTTTCTACCTTCAAAAGCAAACACTTTTTATGCTGGGCATGGTGGTGCGCATCTGTAATCCCAGCACTCAGGAGGCTGAGGCAGGGGATCAACATGAATTCAAGACCATTCTGTACTACATAAGCAAGTTCAGGGCCAGCCTATGCTGCATAGTGAAAGTCTGCCTTAAAAAAATTAAAAGGCAAACACTTTGCAATTTCTCTCCATTGATTTGTTTTGCCTGTTCTTGAATTTCATTAAATACAATCAGAATTTCGTTTTTATTTTCACAATGGTTAATGATGAGCACATGTTTATATATTAAAGACATTTTAATATCTTCTTTGAAATTTTAAGATTCTTTTATGAAATACTGGTTAGAGTACAGTTTTAAATTTTTTTTTATTCTTTTATTTTTTTGGCTTTTTGAGACAGGTCTCGCTATGCAGTTCAAGCTGACCTTGGGCTCATTTTGTAGCCCAGGCTGATCTCATACTCACTACAATTCTCCTGCCTCAGCCTCCGGAGTGCTGGAATTACAGGCATGTGCCACCATGCCCGGTCTTAAAGTCTAGTTTTTAATAGACTAGTTTTTCTCTGTCTTAGAGTCTTTGTTCTATGTTTTTGAGATGTAAACATTTTATATGTATTATAATTCTGGTCTTTTGATTCTGTTTAATACTCCACAATTTATCTGCTCCCTTTTGACATTTGCTATAACTACAACTTGGTGATAAAATGAAAATATGCTTGTCTTGAAAATTCTTTTGCAAGTCTTTGTGAACATATGTTTTCATTTATCTTAGGTAACTGACTAGGGTTAAATGGCTGGATCATAGGGAAATGTTTGTTTATAAGAAACTGTGGCAGCTCTCCATAGTTAGGCTAGGGCATTTTACATTCTCAGAATATAAGAGAATTCCAGATAAGATCGGGCGTGTTCAGGGTGGTATGGCAAAGACAAGAGAGTTCCAGATACTTAACAACATTGAAAATGTTGAGGTATTATTAATTCTTTAGATTTGGTCACTCCAGTGAATATGAAGTGCTGGTATAAAATTGTGCTCTCCA